GCTGCAGCGGCGGCGGGGGCTCGTGATTGCCCGGGCTCGGGTCCTCCTCCGGGCCGGGGGCCGGGCGCCGCTGCCGGCACAGCCACTGCGGCTCCACAATCCGCTTGGCGAAAGGCATCCTGTGCGGTCGAGTGGCGACTTTCGGGTGGCTTTCCTGGGCGCGCTCCTGGTGAACGGGCAGCCGGCGCGCCCACCTGGGCGGGGAGCAGGCAGGAGTCAGGCACAGGCGCCCTCGGCGGGCCAGGAACGCAGGGGCTCTCGCTCACCTGGTCCCTTTCTCGCCCCCGCCAGGCTCCTAGTAAATCAGTCCAGCTGGTCTCCTCCGGGTGCGTTGTTCCCTAGAGAAGGTGACAAGCGCAGGGCGCAGGAATTCCGGGGCGCTCCCGGGCTCTCTTCACTTGCTTCCAACCGGGGCCGGCTGGCTCAGCTCCATCGTTCCTGCGCTCGCCGCTTCACCCCGTCCGCTGCCGCCGCCTATATAAATGGGCGCGTGTGTGTGTGTGTGTGTGTGTGTGTGTGTGTGTAGAGGTGGGTGGGTGGGAGTGTGTGCGCGCGTCTCAGTTTGAAAGTACCCCGGCGCAGGCCTCTCCCCGCGCGCCCCTCGGCCGCTCCGGGGAGCGATTGCGCCCGGGCTCTCTCCCTCCTGGGCGGGGAGGAGGTCTCAGAGAGGCGCTCTGAAAACCCGGAGAGAGGAATCCGCCTCCAGCCCAGGCGCAGGAGGCGGCGCGGGGGCGGCAGGGCGGACGCAGGGCGGCGAGAGGAGGGGGGAGACTAGACCGAGGGGGGCGCAGAGCCCCGCGCCGCCGCTGGGAGTCACTGGTGGCCTCGCTGCGCCAGGCGCGTTCCGGTGCTAAACCACTTCCTCGCATCCAAGGGGTCAGAATTGAGACTGTCAGCATGGTGGGGGCGGGGAGTCTCCAAGTTAGGATTGGGGTTGTCAGTAATGAGCGGGGAGAGTGGAGGGTGGGGTCTTGGGGATGTAGATTGGGCGTGTTGGAGCAAATTGCTTTGCTGAATTCCAGTTCTGTGCAAGTCCTTTGGGCTCCTAGCAGAGAAAACAGGGCAGCCCCTAGAAGTACCAAGATCGCTGTGAGCGTTAAGAAAAAAAGAGTGGTGAGCTTTGGGCACATCCCCCTGCGGAGTCGCCTGGATGGTGTTTATCCCTGTTCTCTGCTGTCCATGGAATATATCGGGCAAGGTCTCCATAGAAGAGAATGGGTGAAACCCAAACTACCAATGAGTGAAAACACAGACAACTTCTTGCAAAGCTCATTGACACGCTAGTTGAGATAAACCCTCCCACCTCCCTGCCACCAGATCCGACTCAGAGGTTTGTTGTTTGGTGTTTTGTTTTGTTTTGTTTTGTTTTTAGTGCTCCTTCAGAGATACTGTGATTGTTGGAAGGAACACAAGTTTCCTCTTTGGTTAACTGAAAGGTATTTCTTTAAAAAAAATGGGAGGAGGGGCATTTTCGATTGCAGCAGCCTCAGACCCAAAAGGGTTTGGGAAATGTTAATAAGATACATGCTTTCATCCTTCCAAAAAATATACTGTAAAAATATTTTTATTTTAAAGCCACAAGCCAGATCTTAGGAATGCAGCCTTCATTTCATCTGTCTAAAGAGAACATGGAAAAAATATGTTTTGTGGAAACAATAAAGTCCTCCAGACCTGTGATGATGTCTCCTCTCCTCTTCTCCTCCCCCAGTGCTCCTCCTCCCATGAGTCCATGCTTTGGACAGTTTTTATAAAGGCTTTAAGAAACCCATGCCTTACTTTACCTAGAAAAATAGCAAACTTTTTTTGGGGGGGGGGACATGGGGGTGACCCTGTTCATTTAAAAAATCCACATGGGGATTTGGGAGACAGTTCCACAATGTCTGTGATTTACATGGGAATGGTTTAGCAACAAGAATGATAATAATGTGCAGAAAAAGAAAACACAGCAAACTGTTCCAATTGATGACTCTACCAAAACTGGCTTTTGGGGGTGCATTGTACCTTCCCTGCAACTTGATTTTCAATTTGGTTTGGTTTGGTTTTGAAACAAAAAAGTGACAGGGGAAAAAAAAGTATTTTGGAACAGTCTTTTAGGATTTGCTCTTTATCTTGCAGATCCAAACCGCTCAGAGCTGATTGTTTTCAAATTTAGCTTGACTTTTTCATATGTTCAAAAATTCTGTGCTTGAGTTCTGCTAGGTAGCCAAGCCACACAACTCCTCCCCAAACACACTGAGGCATATAAAACAATGAGAGTATTAAGGGCATCCAGTTAACAAGCCTTGTGGCAACAGTCTGCCCTGCCCCTCACTCCCCCTCACTCAACATTGTCCTATGAATAGCACCCAAGGGCAACAGTTTGCACTGGGTCCAGCTGAACATTAACATGGCTGGGAGTGACTTACAGCTCTCACTCCTAAAAGAGCTTTAGCTTACTGCTGAGTTGCTTTCTGAGCCTGAGGGCCCCTGTCCACCCAGGAATGTGATCAGAGTGGAACGGGCCAAGCCCAGTCAAGCCTGGTGGGGGAAGTGCACTGACCGGTCCTCTTGCAGGGCAAGGAGAAGGAAGATTACAGGGGGAGAGGCTAGCCACCTTGGTGTCTGCCCTAAAGTAGTCATCACAGGCTCAAGTAGAGATTTCAAAATGATTCAAAGTACAGTTCAATGATGCACAAAGGAAAAGACTCTCTGCTGTGTCCTGGGCTCCTAGTTCTATGCTAGTAAAGCCATGTGGTTGAAAATGAAAAGCTTTGATTTTAGCTTTTGATCTTCTCCATCCTCAGTACATCTCCACACCCCACCCCTCCTTCCTTTGATAGTTCCCAGTGACCATGCCAAGATCATGTCAGTTCTGTTCATTTTTTAGGACTTTGAAGGATAGCCTCCTTCAAAGTCCCAAAAAAGAAAATTAATAAAAATAATCATATTCATTGGTCTGGATGGTTGAAGTTTGCTCCATTGCCTGTAAGGTGTAAATAAAGACATTTTTAAGAAATTTTACGATTTTTGTACAAGTAATATTCTTGAACTGCGGTGTTGACAAAGAAGACTGAATACACCATGGACTACCAGAACAACAAAAGGTGTGTCTTGACAGAACTACAGCCAGAATGCTCCTCAGAGATAAGGATGGTGAGATTACGTCTCACATACTGTAGGCATTTTCTTAAGAGGAATCAGTTTCTGGACAAAGACTTCACACTCCATAAACTAAAGGGCCAGGAAAAAAAAAAAAGGAGGAAGACCCTCAATAAAGTCAGTTGACATAGTGGCTACAACAGTGTGCTCAAGCACAACAGACTGTGAGGATGATGCAGGATTGAGCAGTGTTTCTCTCTTTTGTACATAGACTTGCTATGAGTCTGAAGTGGCTCAAAAGCACCTAACAAGATCTAAATTAAAAAAAAAATAGTATGCTACTATGCAAAGGCAACTTCAAGACAGGCCTCCATCTCTACCTACCCCTTCCTAGCCCAAGCCCCTCCTATGTGGTTTACCCACCTCTCATCTCCAGCGCTCTCTCCATACAAACACAGCTTTTGGCTTAGCCCCTGCATTGTATAACTTAAATGTTGAAATCAATAAAAATTCAGCCACATGTAATCATGTTGAGATGTACAAATATGCTTCATACATAGGAGCCTTCAACATACCCATGAGCTATGCCTTTTTTATTCAAATCTCCAACTGCACAATTTTGCTCCAAATATTCACATAAAAAGTTCTGATGAAGAGAGATACCTGAAAGGCTGGTTTTTTATACCCAGCTGTGTGTACATATGTGAGCATTAGTCTCTCTTGATTGTACACATAATCAATGTCCCTATATTTATTTACCAAGTGCTTGTAACCAAAGTGGAAAGGAAAGGCAGAATTAGAAAATCATCATCTATTTCATTCCCAGTGGTAATTTGCATAGCTCAAAGGCCAGAATAATTTCTCCATAAATGCAAATATTCTTTCATTATAAATCCTATGCCACTGGAAATGAATACAATATCCTTTCCATATCCCCACATCCCATGACTATGCTCATGTCTGCTTCAGCCCAGTAGGAATGAAGTCTTTGATGCACAACAAGATAGAGCATTGAGAGGACCAAAAGGTCCCTCCATGTTGGCCTGGCTAGCCTCACACTTGGACAAAGCCAAAGTCAAGTTTCCTCTGGGACCTCACAAGTAACAAAACAGAGATTCCTCAGAAAATTTACATAAAAAGTTCTCTTCTGGTTCCAAATACCCAGCATTGATGCTATTATAGCATTTTTATTCTTTGTACACCTATGTTTCCTGCTGTGTTGTTCACAATAGCAAAGAGATGGAAACAATCCCAGGGCCCATCAACAAACGAATGGATAGAGAAGCTCTGGTATATTCACACAATAGAATATTATGCATCACTGAAAAACAAGGACCTCATGAAATATTATACAAAATGGGTGACGCTGAGGGATATTATGCTGAGTGAAATATCTCAGTCACAAAAAGACAAATACTGCATAATGCCACTGCAATAAAATAGGATTGACATGGAGGTTACGGGGAAACTAAGAAATGAGGGGATAAATAATATATATTGCCTTGAAACAGATGAGGGAGAAAACTTTAAAAGGGACATATTATTAGGTATTATTTGTATGACAACAAACCAGAGTAAGAACTCATAGCAAAGTGGACTGGGGGTGGCAGGGGAGGCAAGAGGAAATTGTGCAACAATGAAAGGGTTTTTTTTCCAAGAGAAAGGTGACTTGGAGGGGTGGGTAGGGAGGAAAATGAGCAGCAATGAATGGAAATAAAGAAATAATTAAATAAATGATTCAACATTTTAAAAAAATTTCTTCTGTCCAAGAGATTTCAGGAGCTACATGAGCATGTTAGCATTATCATATCATCATAGTGACTGAAGTCTCCACTTTCACCATCCAATTAATTACATCTATTCCCCACTGAACCACTTTCACTCATCACTGAAAACCCTGCCACTAAGTAAAGAGCTGTTATATAAAAAATACTTCTGTTCATTTTATTGGGAAAGCCCTGACACAGAAAAGATTTATCCAAGTTAAAAGCAATAATTAGAAAATAAATGAAAGTTCACTTCCACTGCCATTGAGTCAAT